TCACAGGGGCTGATCATTGCCCACAGCCCTGCCCGTGCCAGCCAGCTGCCCGTGCTCCTGTGAGTCCCCAGCGTGGGGCCGAGGCCACCGCGGTCACTCAGTGGGTGTTGCTGGGCTTTGCTCTGGCCCTGCAGCCCTGGCAGCCTGCCCTGGGCTGGCCACCTGCCCAGCTCCCACGGGAGCTGCCAATGGAGCCTCTGCCGAGGTGGTTGTGCCCCGCAGCTGGTTCAGGGGTGACCCCAGCCCTGCTCTGGGACTGCTCTCCCAGCTCTTTGCTGCCTCCTGATGCGTTTCCCCATCTGCTGGGGCCGCTTCACACGGATTAGAGTCTGATGCAGCCTGGAAACTATTTTGGCTGTCATGGAACATCCCTGGCTCTGCTGATTGAGGGGGGAACGTGGTCGTGGCACTTTAACCCCTTCCTGCCCTGCCGCTGGCTGTCGGCCAGCACAGCCGGGACTGGGGTCACTCCGGTACTGCGCAGGGAGCACTGACAAAGGCATCGGAAGCACGATCCCAGCACAGGGAAACTGCTGGAGACATTAAACTCTGAGTGAAGCTGCACATGTCAGAGCAGCTGTGGCTCATGCTGTGCCAGCACCGCAGAGGAGCAGCTCCAGCTGTGGGGGAACAGGAAAGGAGCTGTGTGGGAGTCAGGAACGCTGCAGCCCCTCCATTGCTGCCTGCTAGGGGCACACGGGGCTGGATGTGGGGCTGCAGCCCCGCCGCTGGCTGAGCCCAGGTCTGGCTGTGGGTGCTGCTCCCACCTCCCATTCTCACTCCCGCAGGAGGGCCTGGACGGCGTCCTCAAGATCCTGGTGAACCAGCTGAGCTCCGACGACGTGAACGTGCTGACCTGTGCCACTGGCACCCTCTCCAACCTGACCTGCAACAACAGCAAGAACAAGACGCTGGTGACGCAGTCGAACGGGGTGGAGGCCCTGATCCACACCATCCTGCGGGCGGGCGACAAGGAGGACATCACCGAGCCGGCCGTCTGCGCCCTGCGGCACCTCACCAGCCGGCACCCCGAGGCCGAGATGGCACAGAACTCGGTGCGGCTCAACTACGGCATCCCCGCCATCGTCAAGCTCCTCAACCAGCCCAACCAGTGGCCACTGGTCAAGGTGAGGGGCCGGAGGGGTGTTGAGGGCCAGTGGAAGCCAGTGCCACAGTCAAGACGAATCTCTCCTTCCCCCTCCTCTCTTCCAGGCTACCATAGGCCTGATCCGCAACCTGGCCCTGTGCCCGGCCAACCATGCCCCGCTGCAGGAGGCCGCCGTCATCCCCCGCCTGGTCCAGCTGCTGGTCAAGGCTCACCAGGACGCCCAGCGACACGTAGCTGCTGGCACACAGCAGCCCTACACAGTGAGTGCCCACCCCTCTGCCCTGCACAGCCTGGCACCCCAAAACCCAGCCTGTCCCTGGGGGTACCCTGTGCCCACGCTCTGGGTGGCCATGCCCTGGCGTGGGGGGCCCTGGCTGAGCGCTTATCCCCTGGCAGGACGGAGTGAAGATGGAAGAGATCGTGGAGGGGTGCACGGGGGCCCTGCACATCCTGGCCCGGGACCCCATGAACCGCATGGAGATCTTCCGCCTCAACACCATCCCTCTCTTCGTGCAGGTCAGGGCTGGGGGCATGTGGGGGCTGCGCTGGGCCAACCCCTCCCAGCGGGCACAGGGAGCCACAGCCCTGGGCTGGTGGCTCTGTGCATCAGGCTCCTCGCCAGCTGCTTCACGTGGTGCTGATCTCTCCCCACAGCTCCTGTACTCGCCCGTGGAGAACATCCAGCGCGTGGCAGCGGGCGTGCTGTGTGAGCTGGCCCAGGACAAGGAGGCGGCGGATGCCATCGATGCCGAGGGGGCCTCGGCTCCCCTGATGGAGCTGCTGCACTCCCGGAATGAGGGGACGGGTAAGTGCCACCGTGCCAGGGGCTGTGTGGGGGGCTCTCTGCCTCCTGGCACTATCCCAGCTGGGGCTCTTGGGGCTCCAGTGCTATGTGGCACCAGGAGCTGAGGCCGCTGCCTGTCCCTGCAGCCACCTACGCAGCCGCTGTGCTCTTCCGCATCTCGGAGGACAAGAACCCCGACTACAGGAAGCGCGTCTCCGTGGAGCTCACCAACTCCCTCTTCAAGCACGACCCGGCAGCCTGGGAGGCGGTGAGCATCCCCTTTCCCTGGGAAAAAGAGCCTCTGGGAATGGCCCTGTCCTGCTTCCAGAAGCTCCTGCCAGCACCTCTGACCAGAGCTTGGATGGGAGCAATGGGCAAATGTGGGGAGGTGGGGGGTGGACGGGCTGTGGCCTCAGCTCCTGGGTCACAGCTTGGGACAGGTCTGGGCGCCATGTGACCCCTGAGCACAAATCCCTTCAATTGTGCCACCTTCTTCCGTAGGCTCAGAGCATGATCCCCATCAACGAGCCCTACTCAGACGGTGAGTACAGTGCCAGCCCTCCCTGGGGTCACCATGGGCTATACTCTGGGTGGGCAGTTGTCTCATCTCGCCAAACCAGGCTGCTTTTAAAACCTTTCTCTGGTGGCTGCCAGTCAAGTGCCAGCACAGCCTGCTGGGGAAGCTCAGTGGGATGCTCAGCTCCTCGGGAGCACAAACAGCTGCTGCCCTGGGTGCCTGGGCTGCCCCCCAGGCTGGGGGCTGGGGTGGCAGGTGGCTGTCACGTCCTTTGCAGCACCATGTGCCACACGCTGCCCCGGGTGAGGGTGGCTGAGGTCTGGAGATGTCTCTGGCTGGCGGGAGCTGAGGTTGCCACGTCCCTTCCCTGCAGAGCTGGACCCTGGCTACCGCCCCATGTACTCGGGTGACATCCCCCTGGACCCCATCGACATGCACATGGACATGGACGGGGACTACCCCATGGACGCCTACAGCGACGGCGTCCGGGCGCCCTTCGCTGACCACATGCTCGCCTAACCCGCCCTGCCCCGCACCAGGTACCTGCCGGGGTGGGAGCTCAGCCCTGGGGCAGCGCGGGTGGCTGGGGGAGGCAGGGCTGGCTGGTGGCACCTGGCGTGCCCGGGGTCCCTGGTGCCACTGCGGGGTCCCTGTTGCTGCCGTGGGTTGATGTCCCCATCACCCGTGGGCTCGGGAGCTCTGGTCTTGTCCCAGATCCCCCCTCGGTGGGTGACGGGAGCTCCCTGCCGCCGCAGGTGTTCTCTCCATGCAGAAGAGGGTGGCCCCAGAGCTGAGCATTCGCGAGAAGGACTTGGGAGACAGAAGTGCCTGAGAAGACAAAACTTTTCCATTCCCACAAGAGGTTTTGTTTTTCGATTTGTTTTCTTCGCTGTGGGTCTGTGGAGAAGGTCCTTCCTCCTGGGACTGCTTCGAGCACCTACTGCCGCATCCAGCATCCAAGATACTGTTTCTGAAGCTTTAAAACACAAACCCTGCACCGTTAGCGACCTTTCATTGGCAAAATAGTCTTTTCTATGAATATATATTTCTTTTTTATTTTTAATATGGTGCCAACGGCTTTTGCCGTCTTTAAGTTTGTGCTTTCTAACTTCCCCCCAATTTGTTCTGCGTGTTAGTGTTCTAGGAGAGGAATCTAACACGGGAAAACCCTTTGCTTCCTGCAAACTCCGGCTGAATGAGGCCAATCCAGAGTTTGCTGAAAGCAAAGGGTCCGTGTCCCAGTACCTTCGGTTTGGCCGTGGGGGTGTCTGAGGTTTAATTCTTTCCCATCAGCCGTTGGGAGCTGACTTTGTATCCCTGCCTGTCCTACCAGTCCCCATAGAGGAGTGACTCCAGCATTAGGAACCGTGTCCTTGTACCGATCTCTGTTGCACATTTTAACCCATTTCCCTTCTCTTTGGTGAGTGGTGTGTTTCCGTCTCCTCCTCCCTTATCTAACGCATTTTTTAAGGAGGCTCTAGATCTGATGGTGGTTTAACACTCCGGCTGGAAAGGGATGGACAGTTACTGGAGTGTGGGTCAGGAATGGAAAGTTTTATTATTTCTGTAAGTTGTTTTTGTATAGACCAAAGCAAAGAATAAAATAACCCCTGCAGCCCTGTGCTGCCCTGAGCCTGTTCTTCTGTTGGCTGGGGACGGTCGGTGAGATCCTCGGGGCAGCGGGGAGAAGGCAGCCATCGCCCTCCATGGGCCTGTGGGGGGTCCCTCCGTGGGGCAGGGTGACCTTGGTGAGCTCGTTCCCACGCTCAGCACCCGCTTTGCCTGGCCCAGGGCCCGGCTGCCGCAGAGCTCGGCAGGACACGGAGCCTCACGTGCCGTGCTCGGCACAGGAGTGAGCTGGGGACGAGGCAGCAGGAGCCGGTCTGGGAAGTGGGGAACATCCTGCCTGAGCTCAGCGCTGTGACTGCAGCCAACCCCGCTGCTCAGGGATATGGATCTGCTTCCTGCCACGGCCCGTGCCAGGACCAGCAAGGAGCAAAACAACAGCTGCTTTCCGGGCAGCCCCGACAGAGCCCAGTGCACTTCCCAAGGGCAGCGGGGCCAGGGCGACTCATAGGATGAGGCTGGGGGCCAGGCAGCCCTCAGCCTGCTGCGTGCACTGCTGGAGCAGGACACGGTCAGTGACAGGCCATGGCTCCAGCCCCGTGTGCCTGGGATGGGGGTTTGGCTGTGCTGAGCCTGGAGCTGCTCTCGTGGCTCCCAGCCAGCCCCGCTGCAGGTCGCAGGAATGTTCCTGGTGTTGGATCTGGCTGTCCCCCGGGTGCCAGCGGGCCTGGAGATGCCCCAGAGCTTGCGCCCTAGGAGGAACTAGGTCCTGCGACCATCCCGGGGCCATGGGCTGGGGCGTGCCCCCTGCACACCCTGGGGTGCCCTCACTGGGGCAGGACTGCACGTTCTGAGACCCTCAGTCCCACTGTGGCAGAGCTGCCAGGGGGCATGTCCGGGATTTTGGGGAAAAGCAGAGCCAGAGGATAGCTGGACCAGAGCAGCCGGAGCTGTTTGCGGGGTTCCCAGGGAGCGGCATCCCTGGGGAGGCTCCTGGAGAAGCGGGACGGACTACAGGTCCCAGCATGCCCGGCCGCGCTCCACACCTGCCGGGGAGCGGCTTCGTTACCGGCGGGGCCCGGCAGCGATGTCCGAGGGCCCCGCAGCCGCTGCCACGCCGGGAGCAGCGCCCAGCGGTGAGTGAGCCCCGGGACCCCTCGGGGTACCCGCACCTCCCGCCCCGGCACCACCGCTGCACCCAGACCCGCAGCCCCCGCATCCCCCGGTGCACCGAGCCCGAGGCTCTCCCGGTGTCCCGCGTTCCCCCAGGCTGCCCTCGGGCACCCCAAGACCGTGGGTGGCCCCCGTGGGCGAGCCCCAGGCTGAGGCCCTGGAGAATTTGCCTCGTCTCGTCCCTTCCTGGCGCTCGGCTTCCCCTCGGGAGGTGCCCGGGCAGGAGGGGCAGGGCAGGGCAGGGCGCAGCGGGCGCGGGTCTGCACAGGCACCCGGGGCGGGCTGAGCCGGGACCTCGCTCCGCCTGGCCCATGTCCCACCGGGACCACCGTCCTGCTCTCGCCCAGCTCCCGTGGGGCAGGTCACCAGGTCGTCGGGACCCGAACGCTGGTGGCGGGGGGACAGTGGGGTCCGGGGGGCGATGGGAACGGGGGTCGATGGGAGCTGCTCGCACGTGTCTCAGCAAGGTTCCCCTGGGGAGAGTGAATGTACGTGCAGGAGCTGGGCCAAAGTCAGACGCAGGGCTCTGGCAATCCCGGCTGAGCTGACTCACCGGCCGGGCTCCCTCCCCGGAGCCAGCGCAGCGCGGCACCTCGGCACGGTGGGTCCTTGTCCTTCCCCGGGGAGAAGAGGGTCTAGGGGGCTGGGGCTGGGAGCTGTTCTCTGGGCAGCACGATGCAACATGGGGCCCCGAGGTCTGCTGGTCCCGGTGCCATGGGGCAGAGGGCTGTGGGGGCTGTGGGTGTGCTTCGGAATGTGCATGTTGCCTCTTGCCCGTCCTGTGTGCCAGGGGGGTGCAGAGTGGCCTGGCCTGGGTGCTGTGGATGTGGCAGCAACCCTGAGCATGTGCCAGGAGGGAGGGCAGTGTAGATGAGGGGCTGCTGGTGCCACAGCCCCTACCGTGGTGGAAGTGGGAGCAGGGGTGGAGATGGGGCAGGGGGCTTGCACAAGGGGCTCCTGCCCCCCAGGGCTCAGGGGCAGCAGTGCCAGCACAGCCCAAATCAGGACTACTAGAGGTAGCAGGAAAGCAAGAATATCCTGGTTTTATGGCCTGTCTCATGATGTGTTTATGGTTGGGATGGGGCAGACACAGATGCTGCCCAGCCCTGCCCTGGGTGGCACAGCAGGTCCCTGCGCCTACAGAGGATAACAGACGGACTTTGCTCTCTAAGGTGGAGCTCCCAAGGGCTCTTACTGGCACTGCAGCTGTGTTTGCCCACTGCTAGGAAGCTCGAGGGCTCCTTCCTTGCTCACTCCATAGGCAGGGACCCAGCGGGGACCTCGAGGGGAGCAGGGTCCTGCCCCGTCCCTTCAGAGCATCTTCTGCCCTGTCTGGCCCTGGCGCTGATCCAGAAATCACCAAGTCTCTGCTTTGGTGCTGAGCCCCCCACGTCACAGCAGCCGCCACATAGCAGGTACACTGACCCCTCACCACCCCCAAACCTGCCCCACATTTGGGGTGGCTGCTGAGCTGGGGTCTGTTCCCACAGCCCCCCTGTCCCAGTGGCAGGGAGGAGGGACACCTGAGCCCTGGCTATGCCATCCAGGTCCTCACCAGCCCCCAGCCTGGCAGGTGTTGCCCCTGGGAGGGTGTTTTTCCCGTGGCAGGATGCTGGGGGATATGGAGGTGCAGGGTATGTCCCTGGTCCCTAGAGCGTCACCTGAACAGCTCCTTCTCCCCAGGCAGGGCCCGGAGAAGGGAATCTGCTGCCCAGCAGCGCCGCTCCAGGGAGGTAGGGTGGACGGTGCCCCTCCCCATGGCGGCTGGGCCCCCACGTAACGCCAGCCAAACTGGACACCGTGGTCCCACGAGAGAATCCCCCCGGCCAGAGCCCACCCGCCTGCCACCTCCGGCCCAGCCCAGACTCATCTGTCACTGCCTGTCCCCACACTGACCCGGCATCCCGTGGGTCGGACACGGGCACACACCGCGATGCCTCAACCATCACCGGTGGGTAGGGATGGGCAGTGCCAGTAAGTGGCCCAGGGGAACTGGGAAAAGGGGGGGGAAGAGCTGGGGCAACTCTGGGCTGGTCCTGCATCCTGCCCCCATCCTGTTGCTGGGGCTGAGCCACTGTCCTGGCATCCTTCACCCCACACTGTGCTCTGTCCCCGGCACCACTCGGCCGGGCAGAGCGTGGCCAGGAGATGGCAGTAGGACCCTGCCTGCAGGCAGCAGGGGGGCGAGGGGGAGCAGGGCAGAGCTGGGGGGGGATGTCCCTGTGTGCCACGCTGCGGGGGATCCCCCAGTCCCCACAAGAGTGGCTTTGGGGGCAGACCCATCTGGTGGCACCAGCCTCAAACCCTGAGGGGACAGAGGGGGCTGAGGGATGTAGGAAGTGCTCCCCTGCCAAGGCCCCCATGCACCCCATTGCCCTCATGTGCCCCCAACCCTGGGCTGACACCATGCCCCTCTGTCCCCAGAGCTGTGCAGTGGGGACATCCCCGAGGTGGAGATCATCAGCCTGCTGGGCGAGCAGCTGCCCCGCTACACGCTGCGGGCTGACACCGTCTTTGGCTACGACCACGGTGACTGGCTGAGAGCCCCCCTCGGCCCCCCACAGCCAGCGGCCCCCCTCGCCCCCCAGCAGATCGAGGAGACCCTGCAGTATTTCCGTGAGTGCCCGTGGGCTGGTGAGGGCGGCGGGGCTGGCAAGGGCAGCGGGGCACAGGCTGCAGCAGCTGCGCGGGGTCGGGACGGCGAGGGCAGCCCCGGAGCTAATCACTGCTAACGGGATTGACGGGCTGGATTTCCTCACCCAGAACATCCCCGGCTAATTCTGAGAGCAGCTTCTGCTGAGCCGAGCCGGATGCTGGGAGAGAGCCTCTGTCTTCTCCAGGGACCCCCTGCACGTCCCTGCTCCCCTGCACTGTGCCGTGGGCTTGCAGGGGTGGCACACTGGTGGGGTTGGCAGAGAGTGTGCCAGTGAATCCCAGTGCTGCTGTCCCCCCAGACATGACAGCCTGACAGGCATTGTGGGGGCGCTGGTGCAAAGTCCCCAGAGCCATGGGGTGTGGATACCTGGGGGGAGACCCCACAGCCCCCATGGCTAGGCAGGGGCAATGCCCACGGTGCTGTGATGAGGCCCATTCCTGGTGTGGGGTTGGGGTTCAGCGGGGGTTCAGCACAGACGGATTATCTCTGCTTTGTTTCTGCCTCTGGCCTGCGTGTGGCAGGGACAGGATTAGAGCGAGGGGCTGGGGCAGATGGGTGTGGGGCAGCAGGAGACAGATGGGGCTGAGGCTCCCAACCCCCTGCCCACGCCAGGCTGGGGTGGGGGCAAGCCCTCTCCATGCCCTGCCGGTGTTTGCAGCCTTCCCCATCTGGCTGCTCCCCTCTCTGTTCAGCAGGCAGTGGGGTGCAGCCCCCCAGCCATCAGCACCCCTGACCCTGCAGTGACAGTACAAGGGATTGAGCCCCAAGCCCTGTCCCTGTGCCACAGGGCAGGGAGCACCCGGCTCTGCAGGACCCTGGCACCCCCATCCATGGGACCTGCTGTTCTCAATGCCAGACCCCTGCAGGTCACAGTTCCCCCAGTGCCGATGGCGTGTGTGGGTGTGGAGGGGGCCCATGGCGTCATCCCTTTACCCAAACCTTTAAGCTGCCGTCAGAAATAGCCCCCTGTAATCTGCTTGAGCAGACACGGGGAACCTGCCCACAAATCCTGGGGCAGGGGATTAGGAAGAAGCAGCTCTTGCCTGTCCACGCAGAGACGTGTGCTCAAGTCCTTGGGGTCCCTGGGGGGTGGGCACCCAGTGCTGGCTGTGTCCCTCACCGAGGGAAACACCAGTGCCAGGAGGAGGGAGAGGCTGGGACTGAGGGCACCTGCTCCGACCCCTCCTCTGGGAGGGGTCCAGTGGTTAGGCAGGACACGGTCAGTGTCAGGATTCCAGTGGGTGGGAGTCCAGCAGGAGAAGGAAGGCGTCCGTGAGGGGCAACTCCAGCCGCGTCCATTCATCCATTATTTGGGTGCTAACGAGGAAGGGCGTTGGGGCAGGTGATGGGGATGGGCAGAGCATGCGTTGGCATTACCAGCGTCACACCCACGCAGCTTGTGCTACGTGCCAGCCAGCTCCTCCATAATTCAGCACACCATGATTTATTCAGCTTTCCTGCTTCCGTGCTGCCTCTGCAGCAGGGTGGTTGTGGGGAGCTGAGGGTGCCAGCCAGGGAGCACAGGGAGCCTCGATGGGGCATGGAGGGGGCCAGGCTCGTGCCAGCCCGTGCTCAGAGCCAAGGGGTGCTGAGTGGGATGGAAAAGCCCTTTCCCAGCTCACGGACCGGGCGGGTCCCAGCACAGCACTGGGCCCTGCGTGTGCAGGGTGTGTGATGGCTGTGTGGGTGATGATGGGGGGACCAGGCCTGGGGTGGCAGAGCAGGGCTGGCTGGAAAAAGCAGACCCTGATCCTCACAGGGCCCAAAACCATTCCCTGTCCCTCCCAAGGGGCAGAAGCCGCTGTCTGTGCATAACCCTTAGGGTCAGCCCTGTGGAGCTGCTACATGGGGACCCCCAGTGTCCCCTCCACATTCATCATCACCCTTGGGGACCCATGTGTCCAGACCCCCCATGTCCATGAGCTGGGACCAGAGGGGGGACACAGAGCCCAACTGCACCAGCCCCCCGGGGCTGAGCAGGGTTGTCGCAGTGAGTGCCCCAACGGGAAGCCCGGTCCTGGGATGTCCGAGAGAGACCGTGTGCCCGAGGTGGCTCGTGGGTGTGGGGGGAGTGGGCACTCCCGAGCAGCCTCTGACACCCCCCGGCGCCCCCGCCCCGCTCCCGCCCGGCCCCGCCCCCGCCCGGTCCCGGCCCCAGCCCCAGCCCCGGCCCCGCCGCCGGGGGACGCGCCGGGCAGGTGCGAGCGGACGGAGCGACCCTATAAATAGGGGAGGGAGAGACTGCAGCGGCTCCGCTCGGCGCGGCTGGGCACGGCTGGGCACGGCTGGGTGGGCTCGGCACGATGGAGATCTGGAGCAGCCCCGCCGCCTACGACGAGTTAAACGGGAACGCGGAGCGCGGCGGCGGCGCCGACCCCATCGCCCGGGAGCTGGAGGAAGGTGAGGGCGGCCCGGGCGGTCCCGCCCCGGCGGTGGGGATGGGGATGGGGATGGGGATGCGGCTGCAGCGGGGCCGGGCTCCCCTGGGGCTGGTCCGGAGCGGCGGGGCCGGGGTCTCTCCCGTGACCGGGGCAGGTCCGGAGCGGTGATCTCGGCTGGGGTCTCCCCCCGGCGGTGCCGTCCCCTCCCCGCCCGTGTGTTCCCGCAGCCCGGTCCCGCTCGCTGCGTTCCGGGGCAGCCGCCACCCAGTCCCTTGGGGACCTCCAGGCTCACCCCGATCCTAAGGAGACCTGTCCCCTCGCCTAAGGAGACCTGTCTCCTCGGAGGCGGGGAGCGGGTGGAGGGACAGGGTGAGAGCCCCCGCCAGGTCTGCGTGTGCCCGTGGGGATGGGGGTCCCTCCTCCCTCCCCCTCCCGCATCCCGCCGGATCGGGCCTGCAGATGGGTGTTTACATGTTTGCCAGCGCTGCAGCCCCCGTCTCCCAGGGCCAGCCGCTCGCTCCAACCGTAACGATGCTCATGCTCTAATTATTTCCAATTAATGGCTCAGGGGCCTGACGAGGTGCAGTTGGGGACCCCCGCGGGGAGCGGGCACTGTTGGGGGTGTGTAGAGGGGGTTGAGGCTGGAGCTGGGGTTGGCTCCTCTTCCCATGCATGTGTTTGGGGTACATGCCCACTGGGGCGTGGGGCAACACTCAGGGCAGTGAGGACTGGAGGGGACCGGGGTGTCGAGTGGGGGCATTGCCATGACAACACACTCACCATTACACAACCCCAGCTGGGGCGGCCTAATGGGATTTGTGTGGCTGAGCCTCCCCCGTTAACCCACTTCGTCTGCAGGACTGGGGAGTGGCTGTGACTGGGGACGTGGGTGGAGGCCTTGAGTGCAGCCAGTGCTGCTCAACCAGGGGAAACTGAGGCACGGACCCTTGGGGCAGCAGAGCATCAGCAAGAACATCAGGAGTGCTGTGTGGTGTGGGCAGGGTGCGGGGTACAGGCAGGTCTCGGGGTGTAAGCAGGGTCTGGGGCGCAGCCTCCTGGTTCCCTCTCACCACACAGCTCCAGTGCTGCCATCTGGGTGTGTGCCCGGCACTGTCTGGCAGCGCCTGCGGGCACAGTTGGCAGGATCGGTACTGGGGAGACAGACATCTCCATCCTTGTGCCTCCTCTCCCATCCAGAGAGCCAGACAGTGGCCAGGGGAGGCAGGGCCATGGTTGGGGCCCGTTCCATTGTGGTGGTGTTGGCGTTGGGGGCAGCTGCCTGTTCCCACAGTGTGCTGCCCACAGCTGCCTCTGCCCCTGTTGCTGAGTGGATCGTTGTGTTGTGCAGCTGGAGGGGCATTGGGTGGGTGCAGGGTGCAGCATCCCCTCCCCCAGAGAGAAACTAGGGCAGGGCTGGCTTCTCGGGGGGGGGGCTGGGGGAGGGGGCTGGGACAGATTGGAGGGGACGCTGCCTGTGAGCCCGGCTCAGCGTGGTGCCACCCACAGCTATTTACTCTGGAGCTCCAGCCTGCTTTCTGCTGGAAATGTCACCTCCAATCCCATCTCCACTGCTGGCCTTTCCCCGTCCTTCCTTCCCATCCGTGTGTCCAGTGGTGGGGCTGGCACTGTGCCTGTGCTGGGGGCTTGGCACTTTCCTTGCCACCCGGAGGTGCAGGCGGGGTTGGGGGGGAGGTGTGAGCCCCCCGTTTCCCATGATGGTGGCATGGCTGTGGGCATCCCCACCCACCTCTGCCTGGCACCATGCCAGGTGCTGCCCAGCAGATAAAAGGTCCTTTTTGGTGACCAGCCTGGAGCAGCCTTGTGCTGCCTCCCTCCCATTCCCGTCATTGTGCAGCTCCAGAGAGAGCAGTGACATGGACTGGGGGGCAGTGGGGTGACAGTGCTGAGCCCCTGGGCCAGTGCTCCCTCAGTGTGGGGGTTCACCTTTCGACCTCTCCCCCAGTCCTGTGTGCTGAGCGGGTGGTCAGGATCACCAAGACCTACCACGACATCGACGCCGTCACCAACCTGCTGGATGAGGTATGTTGGACCCCCCACCTGTGTGAGGGCTGGGGGGCTGTTGGGATCCCGGGGACACGGGGATGGGTGAGGACTGGGGAAGGGATGAGTCCTGGCTGAGGCAGACCTGCTCCTTGCAGAAGGAGCGGGACCTGGAGCTGGCGGCGCGCATCGGGCAGTCCCTGCTGAAGCAGAACCGGAGCCTGACCGAGCGCAATGAGCTGCTGGAGGAGCAGCTGGAGTTGGCCAAGGAGGAGGTAACAGCTCCTGGGCACAGGTCCAGGCCTTGGCCTCCTGTGTGCCCCCCTGGGGTGGCTGTGGTCCCCTTGGCCATGTCCTGAAGCCCTTTGTCTCTCCAGATTGCGCAGCTGCGCCATGAGGTCTCCATGCGGGATGACCTTCTCCACTTTTACACCACCACGACAGAGGAGAGCGAGCCCACCACCACCACCTCCACACCGTGAGTGGGAGTCCCTCACTGCTGTTCCTCTGGGTTGGGCAGGAACTGTCACCACTACCAGGGTAGCCCTGGACGTGCTCCCTTCCCTCCCCTCCCTCGGCTGTGGCTCCAGCAGCACAGAGCTGAGTTGTTGCAGTTTCCTGCCTGGGTGGGCAGCCCCATCCTGCCCGCACTGCAGGTGCTCAGTGCCATCCCTGCTGTCCTCAGGCTGCGCCGGCACGAGTCTTCACTGTCCCTGCAGCAGTACTTCCAGTACGACACCTTGCAGCAGAAGCTGAAATGCCTGGAGGAGGAGAACCAGAAGCTCCGCATGGAGGTGAGCAGAGCCAGCTGGTGGATGCCCTGCAGTGCCCACCTCTGCCCCACTCACTGCAGGGGGACCCGAGCAGCCTCCCAGGGAGGTGGGAGGTCCTGCCCATCACACTCAGCCCCTCCAACCGTCTCCTCCAGGCCACCAGCATCGCCACAGAGACTTGCCAGTATGAGGACCAGGAGCAGCAGCTGATGATCGACTGCGTGGAGCAGTTCTGTATGTGGGGCTGGGGGGTCTGCAGGCAGTGCCCAGCACCGCTGCGTGGGCTGGGGCTGGGTGGCCGTGCCCCGGCGGTGACGGACCCCGGCCCTCCCGCAGCCGAAGCGAGCCAGCAGGTCGTTCACCTGTCGGAGGAGCTGGCGCACCGGGCGGAGGACGCGGCGCGGCAGCAGGAGGAGATCACGCAGCTCCTGGCGCAGGTCGCGGACCTGCAGCAGAAGTGCCGCTCGGTGAGGGTCCCTGCCCGTGCCGGGGGTGGGGGGGTGGCGCGGGCACAGCGCCCTGACGTGCCCGCTCCTGCCCGCAGTACGGCTCCGAGGTGGAGGAGCTCCAGCAGCACCTGACTGCGGCGAAGGAGGTGCAGCAGCAGCTCCGGATGGAGGTGAGGGCCGTGGGTGTCCCGGCCGGTGGGGGGTCCTGCCAGCTGCCCCCGGGGCCGTGCCCGAGCCGTGCCCGTGTCCCCGCAGCTGCGGGACCTGCAGGAGAAGTACGCGGAGTGCGGCGGGATGCTGCAGGAAGCGCAGGAGGAGGTGAAGAGCCTGCGGAGCCGCAGCTTGCCCAACAGCACCGTGAGCCGCTACAGCGCGGCCAGTCTGCTGCCCGTGGTGAGCGCCCGGGGGCGCGGGGTGGGGCACGGTGGGGGTGGGTGTTGCTGCTCTCCCCTCTACTGACAGTGCGTCCCCCCTGTCTCCAGGACTCGCTGGCTGCTGAGATCAAGGGCATGATGAGGAAGAGGACTGACAGCTCCTCCTCGGACTACAAGTGAGCGCTGGCACCGGTGGCTCGTGCACTGCCATGGGATGGAAGGCTCGGAGGGTGCCTGGCTCACTCCCACCCGCTTCCTGCAGGAGTTACCTGCGCGTCTTCGAGACGGTGAAGGCAGTGAACCAGGCAGCCAAAGCCAAGTCTTGCTCCGAGTCTCCCCACCACATGCCAGGCTCCAAGCAGTTGTCAGCCGCCCACTCTGGGGGGGCCAGCACCCCCCACATCAGCTGCTCCGGCTCGGAGGGTGCCCGGTGAGTGCTGGGGGGGGTTAACTGGGGCCAGGTGGGACAGCGGCTGCCCCTGCACTGGAGACGATGTGCTGGTGACCTGCTGGTCACACGGGAGCAGGAATGAGCCTGGGGCAGGGAGGGCAGGATCCAGCACAGCCCGGGGTGCGGTGCGGGACCACTGCCCTGGGCACCCTAACCCTGTGCCTGCCAGCAGGGCCGGGGGGTCCGGCGGGGCCCGCTGGGCAGCCCCGGGCCGGCAGGACCTGGAGGCGGCGGTGCAGCGGCTGTCGGCGCGGCAGCAGAGCCACTCCTCCGAGGAGCGCTCCTTCTTCGAGGCCGAGCGGGAGCGCAAGCTCTGGCGCCTGAGGGACGGGGCGAACTCCAGCGGCTTCCTCACCCCCAACGAGAGCATCGTCTCCACGGGGACCAGCTACTCGGGGGGCTCGGAGCTCACCGCCGGCTCCACCTTTTCCCTCGGCTCCCTCACGTACCTGCCCGACAAGCTGCAGATCGTGAAGCCACTGGAAGGTGAGGGGCAGAGGGGGTGCAGAGCTGGAGCTGCCATGAGGGTCCAACGACACCAACTGAGCCCCCCCGGCTGTGTTCTGTCCCCAGGCTCTGTGACACTCCACCACTGGCAGCAGCTGGCACAACCCAACCTGGGCGGGATCCTGGTGCCCCGTCCCGGGGTGCTCACCAAAGACTTCAGGCAGCTGGACATCGACCTGGAGGAGGTGTACAGCCTCAATGACCTGGAGGAGGATGATGTGGACACTGGCTCCTTCCAGCTGCTCCCTACCTCAACACCCGCCAAAGCCAAGGAGCGCCCCAGGGGTGAGCGCGGGGCGAGGGGACGGAGGGGACGTGGCCCCCAGGACACCCCTGTCCTCCTGCCCAGGCTTCCCGTCGCTCCCCCCTGCACTCTCCCCTCTTGCAGCAGCCTGTCCCTGCCACCCCCCTGTCCCCGCGGGGACTCTCCGTCTGCAGCTGCGCGAGGGCCCTTCTCCGGCAGCCGCCCCGGCGGGGTGAGCCCTGTCCGTCACCCCGGTGTGCCCCTGTTGGCCCCCGGCCGTGTGGAGGGGGCAGGTCTGGGACAGACGGCATCTCCCGGTGCCACCTGTGCTCACAGCCCCCTCTGAGCAGGCACCGCGCCCCAGCTCTGCTGGAGCTCTGCCCCGCGCACGGAGCTCCTGGCCCGGCTTCGGCTCTCCCGCCTGCCCCCAGCCCCGCTCTCTGCCTGTGTCCTGCCCCTCTCCCCGTTGACCCCTTGTCTCCTGTCCCTTCCAGTGTTCCTCTCTGTTAACAACCTCCCCCAGACCCCGTCTACCTTCACCATCACCACCTGCCACATCCTCCACCCCACCACTGCGATCACCACGGTGACACCCAGGTAAGGCGCGTGGCCCCTCCCACCGCCTGCGCTGCCTGCACCCGCCCCGCTGTGCCCCCCGGCTCTCGCTGTGCCCCCCGGCTCTCGCTGTGCCCCCCGGCTCTCGCTGTGCCCCCCGGCTCTCGCTGCCTCAACCCCTGCCTGGCTCCCTGCAGCTCGAGGAAGCCGCAGCCAGGTGCCACTTGCAGCCCCTGATGCTCTGAGAGATGCCAGCACTTGAAGTATCCCCAAATCTGGCTGCTGGGCTGTCTGCGTGCCCGTGGGGAGCTGAGACCACCCTTTCTCCCCCCCCCGCCCCCTCCTGCACTGTAGCACCCTGAGGGGATGGAGAGCCTTCCTGGGGGGCTCAGCCTGGGGAGCAGCGCCCTGGGCACAGAGCAGTGTGTGCTCCTGGCACTCTGGGGAAAGGACATGGCTGGGCAGCAGCCAGGACATTTCCCCAGCTGGGTTCTGGGCTGACCCTTCATTAATGAGCACCGGTGATTAGCCCTAATGAGCCCCTCCAGGCTCCTTGGGGTTCGGTGTGAGCTGGAGTTCACTGTTAGACACAGCCCTGCATGTCTGGAAATTGCTTGTGGAGCAGGGACTGTGTTCCAATCCTTCCTGGCTGCTGAGCTGGAGGGGCATGGCCACAGCCCCCCAGCACCTGGCCCTGAGCTTTGAGGTACTGGGCAGTTTGCAGCTCGGGGGTGTCCCATAGCCCAAGGCTCATTAGGTGAAGGAGGAAAGGGGGTCCTGCTCTGCCCGAGGCCCCTCCTGGCCCCTGCAGCAGCATCCCCTGGGCCAGGGTCCCCCACTGACCCCTCCCTTCTGCTTTCTCTTCCCCTCCAGTCTGTATCATGCCGTCGTGCCTTCTTGTGGGCCCTTTGAGGGGCTGAGCCTCAGCAGCCCCTCGCCAGAACAGTCTCCCCCCACGCTGGTGCTTGGCCCTGGACCCCCAAGCACCCCCGTGGGACTCTTCAGGCTCTTGCTGGGGCGAGATTCCCACTCGGCACCAGGGACTGGATTGTGGCGGGCCCCCTCACTCTGCTCCCAGGACTCCCAGCACGCTGAGCCCCAGCCCTCCCCTGTGCCCCGGGGGCAGGATGGATCCCCACCCAGGAGCAGCATCTTCAGCTGGAACCTGGTGGAGAAGCTGCGGCGCCTGGGGCTGGACAAGGTGGTGGCCAGAGGGGAGATGTCCCGTGCCCAGGGAGGGCACAGGGGGGCCCGGGGCACCCTGACGTGACACTGCTGCAGAGCCCCCAGGCTCACGGTGAGACACATCCTCTTCCTTGCCCATCCACGGGGAAACGGAGACAGGACAAGCTTCAGCCTCCTCTCCAGGTGCTGCCCAGGACCGGCAGCACTCCCGGCACTTGAGGAGGGCTTTGCCCTGGCTGCAAGGACAGAACCCAGCACTGCTCCCCATGTGTGGGGGGTGCAGGGGGTGCCGACTGACCCTGTCCCTGCTGGGGGTAATGGACCCTTCACAGGAGCCAGTTTCTGGCAATAAGAACTGTTCCTGCTTCTGCTGAGCCTGTTCAAGGAGTGAGGGGCAGCTTGGCCCTTCGGGGCTCTCCAGAGCTGCAGCAAAGGGCGATGCTCAGGTGGGTCCTGGGGGAACCTGCGTGTGCCAGGGGAGATCCCCCCAGCCCAGGCTGGGCCCCTGGCCAGCACCCGGACTGGCTTTTAAAAGGAATGGTGGTTTAAACTCTTTCCCACTCACTGAGTAGCAATAGTAGCAGCACCCGCAGCTCGGGTTGTTTCTTGGGGTGCTGCTGTTGCTCCCACTGGCCACGTCCCTCACCCCAGGCTGTGCCCTGTCCCCTGGCAAATAAATGTGAAGTCACAGAGCAGCTTGTGTGCGCTGTGTCCGCTGCCGTGGGCAGTTGGGTCTCTGCCCTGTGCTTCCCTGTGGGGCTGGGGGCAAATTCCCCCTGCCCACCCTTCCCAAGCTCTCCCCAGCACAGCCCTGGGTGCAGCAGCCGTAGTGCCAGAGTTTTATTGCAGGAAGGGACACACACCGAGCGCGTGGGTGCCGTGCATGGTCAGCCCAGCCCCGTGGCTACGCGGCATCGGCCCCGTCCTCGGCGCTGCGGCGGCCGAAGTCCATCCAGTCGGGGTAGTAGTGCTCGTGCAGGGCCTCCATCCCCTCGTCCTCGTGCACGAAGCCCTTGTGGTTGTTCAGCTCTGCCAGGGCAAGGGTGGCAGTTAGAGCTGGCACAGGGGGGCCGGGCTGTGCCCCCCAAGGGCTGCCCACCCCTGCTGCCCTCCTGGTACCTGTGAGGGCGTGGGGCAGGAACCGGGACAGGAGGTGCTGCTGCTCCTGGGACAGGTACTCGGGCCAGTCGCGCCGCACCAGGCTGGGGGGGTGCTGGTGGGGGTCCCCCCCAGCGCCCGGTGCCACGGGCCAGCACAGGCAGGAGGTCACGGCGATGGTGAGGATGAGGCCGAAGCACAGGGTCACCTTCATGGCTGTGGAGAGACTGAGAGGGGAGGGGAGTGGAGGGGCTGCAGCCCCCCAACCAGACATGCTCAGCCTGCAGGGCGCTCCTGCTGGGGTCTGGCCAGTTCACAGTCCCCTCTGTCCCTTCCTATGGGTTCCCAGCCCCCTCCATCCCTCCCATCTGCTCCTCAACTCTTCTCCATCTTCTCCATCCCTGACTCCCAGCTGGTCCCCAAGATGCCTCCGGACAGCGGCAGAACCCTGTGGGACTCACCTGCAGGCTCTGGGGCTCGGTGGATGTCCTGGCAGAGTGTCCTGGTGGGGTGTCCTGGCGGGGTGTCTGGGTGGGTGTCTCTGTGGGTGCCTCTCTCCAGGGTCTCTGTGGCTCAGTCCTGCTTTTAAAGGCACTGCTGCAGCTGCCCCACCCCGGGGCGGCTCCACACCCACCCACCTCCCCTATGGGGGGGCCCCACAGGCTCCTGTGTGTGCTCACAGACACACAGACACACACAGACAGAGTGCTCACACACAGACACACACTGAGCACTCACACAGACACACACAGACAGAGTGCTCACACACAGACACACACTGAGCACTCACACA